AACCAACGGGGGGGGGGGGGGGGGGGTGTTGACCATGGATCGCCGTCGACCGGGGGGGGCGTCAACATCATCTCAGGGTTGCGGGCCCGTTGTTGCATGTTAGGTTGTGCAAGGAAAGGGGATGCGGCGGGGACAACGTGCGCCTAAGCGTATGGGACTCGGGCCCGTGGTCGCTGTAGACGGGCCATCATCAGCAACGGATCGGCGGACACGTGCAAGCAATCAACAACGCTGCAGTAGCCCATTAAAAAAGACTACCACGACGTGGGGGAACCTGCCGAACTTCAGCAATCGAGCCCCAAAAGCCGCCCCCGTCGGACAAAAAAAACGACGAAGGTGGGGCGAGAGAGAGGCAGTGACCCCGAGAATGAAACAAGACAATGAAAGTATCGAGCTGTGCGCCCAGGCATACCGTTGGGAGGATACAATCACGGGAGACGACGGGACCGGCGGGGTCTGTCGGGGTGCAGATTTTCTCAACGCTGGCGTATGCTGTACACGTCTCAGGGCCGTAGTCGGATGAAACGTCACGAGAACCGAACCAAACCAAACCAACAAACAGGTCTGCGTGCGACACAGACAATCCTCGAATTCTGATCTTGAGATTATTCCTGCTGCCAATCGGTTCACGAGAGAGAGAGACTATTACCTTGTTCCATCGCACCCGTGCCCCAAGCCACGATGCATGCGCCCGCTCCCGCCTCCTTCGAGCCAACCTCTGCTGAACCCTAGCTTGGTGCCAAAAATAAAACAGCCCCCCGGCACACTGCGGGCAATCCGCAGACACGAAGCACGCGCAGAGAGAAAGTTAACGTCGATCAAATCGGGCAGAGGGTGGCATGCGCCTGCAAGGTGTTCCCAGCGCACGACGGCCGGCGGTCGCCAGGGCAAGTCGAATCCGCGAAGCACCGTTCTTTCTCGCAGAAGCAGTTTTGTTGTTTTCGTCGTCGTCGATGTTGCCGTAATCGTAATCTTCACACACAAAGAGCAAAACTGGTCCCGTCTCTGGTCAGTACCCTCCAACACCGGCACCGGTCCAACTGACGCCGGCGCCTTGATTGGCACGGGATACGTACCCCAAAAAGAGTGCACACTTTCAGGTGATCGATGAAACGCCCCGGGCACCTCCAACAGAGTCACTTGTCACCCACGACACCGAACCACCACCAATTACAGTATAACTACATCCAGCTATTTATATCCTTCTTGAAGAAAGAAGGGTTGTTTTGCTTCCCCCACAAAGAAATCATGCTTGTACTCTTCATCCGTCGCTGGTAAGGCACAGCATCCGGTTGGAGCGCACGCAAAGAGATCCGCACCTCAAAAGCGACGCAGAACGCGAGACGCCACAAAAAAAAACAAGCATCAGCAGTGATGCCAAAAACGTGCCATGAAAGGACCCTCCGCCATGGCAACAGCACAGGTGGCGGCGGCGGCGGCTGTGGTTCTTACCTGTACAGGCGGCCGGGGAAGAGCTTCTCGAGAACGGGTGCTCGCAAGAGCTGAAGCAGAGGGGCCGACGCCCACCATCGAGCTACCGCCCTCCGAAACCGAGCTCGCAGCCGATGCACCTCTAGCCCCCGACCCAAGACCTACCCTCGGCACTCCAGTGGCCGTCGACGACGTCGTTGCCGATGCTGCTGCACCCCCTGGCCCCTCCGCCACATCACCGCGTTGATGCTCCCCGCGCGGCTGGCTCCCGTGCCGTCGAGGCCGGTCTTCGTCAGCGAGCGCGAGAGCGACTGCTGCGGGTTCTTCCGTCTCCGTCTGGGTGTCGATGTCTGTATCCGTAAGAGTGGCAGATTCGTCATCTTCCTCCTCCTCCTCCTCCTCCTCCTCTCTCTCCTCCCATTCCTGCTCCTCCTCTGCCACGTCCTCCTCCTCCTCCTCCTCCTCCACTGCTCTCTCCATGAGTTCCTGCCCCTTCTCCTCCTCTTCTCTCTCCTCGCGTTCCTGCTCCTCCTCTGCCGCGTCCCTCTCCTCCTCTCTCTCCTCGTCCCCCTTCTCGTGTCCCTCCACTTGGCCGCCCTGCCCCTCTTCCTCCGCCAACTCCTCCTCCTCCTCCTCCTTGCCGTCGCCCTCAAAATTGCCGCCCTGACCCTCTCCCTCCACCTCCCCCCTCTCCTCGTCTTCTTCTAGAGTGCCGCCACGCCCCCTTTCGCCCGCTCCTCCCGGCCCGTCCTCCTCCCCCCCAACCCTCTCCTCCTCTCTGTCTTCCGGTATCGCCGGTGGGGTCGACTTTCCAGCGGCCGGCTGACCCTCCACCGCCGCTGTCGCCGCCGCTGCCGCTGCCTCCAGCTTTCGAGCCTTGAGGCGCTTCTTGGGAGCTGGGACGGGCGGCGTTGTTTCGATTTCATCCGGTGATATCACCTCTAGGGCTGGTAGGCGAAAGTTTCCCGCTGCTTCCACAACCATAAAAGAGGGCGGCATGGAGAAGACAATGGTGGACGTGCGACGGTGCGGTTGGTGAGGGACGACATGAACAGCTTCTGGCAACGCCGGGTTTCTGACGCAATGAAAACAAAAGAGAGCGGAGGTGATAGGTGTTAGATATCCCCAGGCAAGCCCATGACGCTAGGCTAAATCCCCGAGCAATGTGACATTAGGCCAAACCATAGCCGCAAACTGAGTTTGTCCTACACTGGCCAATGATCCGCCAGGGGGCAAAACACCTGTCACTGCTGCCCTCTACGAGCAAATGTTCGACGATAAATTCTGCAGGTATTATTCTGGGCCACTGCAACTGAGCAGCGCGAGCATGGACCATGTGAAGAAACGGGCAGTTCAACCATCTTTCCCACACCCAAAAAAGAGCAACCCAAATTGGCTTAAGACCCAACACAGTAACGTGTTGCTCACCACTCGTTAACACCCTAACCCCCCCCCCCTACCGGCTTGCTTTGCACGTTTTGTACCAGGCTAAGCCAACCAAACTACCACTCGTCTCACACCCACCCGTATCTTCCACAGCCAAGTCGCGCCTCCCCGAACGAGGCCCTCGTCTCAGCGTGTCACCAGCCACTCCTGCAGCCCCCTTCCCACCCATCACTGCATCCCGCCGGCCACTGCTGTTCGCCACCTCCAACGGCCCCCCGTTGCTGCTGCGGACCCCGCCAGCATCAACAGCGGTGCCCCCACAAGCCGTTGAAACGCCTCCGCCGCAACGAGATGGGGCACTCGTGGACCGCGACATGACAGCCGCACCCCCCTCGCCCCTCCCAGACCCCCCCCCGCGGCGGGCGCCTCCGCAGCTAGCCCGGCGCCCGCCCGCGCCTAGCGAGCACGGTCCTAGGAGGGGGTCCGCACCGCCGCTATTTTTCGCGGGGCCTCTTAATCTGCCGGCAGACCGGGACGCTGCGAGGAGGAGGAGGTCCGGGCTCTCCGTCGCCGTCCCCCCCGCCCCGACGCTGCTGCTGCAAGGAGTCGGCGGCGAGTTGTCATCATCGTTACCGGGCCCCGCCCCCACCCGGCGGCTGGAGAACCAACCGTCCGCCGATGGTCGGGAGGGTACCGGAGCCTCGGTGGTAAGGGCGGCCGTGGCGGCCGAAGTCGCCGTCGCCTCCTTCGGTAGTAGTCGCGCCTTCCTCTTGCCGGCCCACGTAGCGGAACGAGGAGGAGGCGCGCGGTCTCCGCTCGCAGGCTTAGCGCCCCCCGCTGTGGCAAGGACGACCGCTCCGGTCACATTTGCTCCTGAGGTGCTTGGCGCGTCCGTCGAGAGGCCGAGCCGGGACAGGTGGTGTCCGGGAAGACTGTCGACTTTGTCTGCCACCGCCGCCGCCACCGCCGCCGGTACCCGCGGCGGCAAGGATGTCGCTGCCGCAACTCCACCACCGTCCCGGTGTCTGCCATCGGGAGCATTGTTCCCGCCGCCGCCTCTGCCGGCTTTGTCCTTCGACGCCTCGCCTGCCCCATCTCCCGTCCGTAACTCAGACGGCGGCGGTTCCCGCAAGCGCGCGTCTGGACCAGCCTCCTTGCTCGGCACCAGGGATGAGCCTTCGCCGCGCCGATCGACTGCCACGGAAGCCGGAGGCGGTGGTGTCGCCAAGAACTTCACGTGGCTCGGTTCGGTGGCGAGAGAAGAATCCCCGGCGTTGTTCCCGGCCGCCGAGGACCCGCCACTTTCTTCCTCCTCGCTCGTGAACACCACCTGCTGCGCGCTGGTCGAAGACGTCGTCGCCCGTCTGGGCCCCTTCGCCGCCGGACGCGGGGAGCGGGGAGGCGGCGGGCCGCTCTCTCCCTCCGCGGCCGCCGCCGCCGCTTTACCAAGCACACCTTCCCCTGCGAGCCCTTCTGATCCTCTCCCCACTGGGTCGGGCGCAGGATCCCCCTCGCCGGCGGTCGAGACTTCCTCCTCCCCCCGGGTGGTGTCGTTGCCGACACTCCCCGCTTCTACCGCCTTCTTGGATGCCTCTCCTCCTTCCCCGGGATAGGACAACAGTTCCCCCCGACCACACACCCCCGCGGCCCAGTTGGTCCGTTTCGTGGCGGCAGCCCCGTCCGTGAAGTACACCTTCTCGACGCTGCTGCTCCTGCTCCTGCCACGATTCTGACTCGGCGTTGCCCCGGCGGCAGCACCGGTCTTCAACCCCGCCCCGACCGAACGCACAACAGGGTAGGTGATTGCCGTCGCCGCTTCTGATCTCACACTGGGTCCCGTCGGAATTGCCGCCACCTCCCCGCTCCTCGAATCGACCGGTGTACCACAACCGCCGCCGCCGCCGCTGCTACCTGTCGAGCTGGAGCCGGAAAGCGCAACGGTGCCCTCCGCGTGCCACGTGCCTGCGGAGCCAGATGAGGCTAGCCCATCGCTGCGCCTCCCGTCGACTTCTCGCGCATCCAGGTCCCCGAGATCGCCAGTCACACCCCAAGCCTTGACGGCGTCCGTGCCGGCAGGACAACAATCTGCGCAAGGCGTAGCAACGACAGCAGCGGCGGCGGCGGAAGCAGTGGTGTTCGGCGGCAAGTCCTCCGTCTCCTCCTCGTCCTCCTCGTCGGCCCCCGGCTCCGGCAGCTTTCCCTCTCCTTCTGCTCCCTGCGCTGCTAGCGCTTGTGCGCTTCCCCCGGCCGTGCACGGAACACCTCCCTCGCGAGGACGTGGGCAGGACGCAACCCCTTCCTCACGACCGCCTCCCGACGTCTCTCCCGAGACCGCTGAAACGCATAGCCGCCCCGCTCGACGCCGGTCCCCTGCCCTGTTCCCTCCGGGAGTGCTACCGCAAGCGTGATCGTCACGATCAACGAGAGGGATTGCAGCTCCCGCTCTCGGCGTGCCCTCCCGGCCGCCTCTCGCCCTGCCGTCTGCTTCGTCGATGGTATCGACAGAGTCGCGAGTCGATGAGGGTGGATCCGGTGGTACACTGGCGGCGGCGGCCGGCGAGCAACGGCGCCCCTGGCAAGGGCTGACAGGGGATAGCTCCTCTGACGACAGCGCTCTGAGGGACCAGGGGCTATCGCTCTCGGCTACGCTGTTCCTGCCGTGGCTGCTGCAGCTGCCGATGTTGCCACCCCTAGTGCCCCCGCTCCGACTCTGTGCGCCGGAGTCCCCTCGGGGGCGGGGGGCGGCGGCGGCAGCGGCGGCGGCGGCGGCGGTCTGACCCATGAGCCCCCCCGACGGCGGGGACATGGTATGCGCCGCTGACCCCCTGTTGCTGCTGCTCAGTGGGACGGAGGATGGCAGGTCCAAGCAAAGGCTAGACAAGCAGGAGTCGGTGCTGTCTCGGACCGATGGTTGGGCCGGAGGACGCTTGGTCGCCCCCGCGGCAGCCGCTCTTCGGCACTGCGGAAACAAAAGGAGGAGGAGGGATCGGGAGACAAACACTTGTTATTGTTCGTTACGCGGTGAGAAACCGCCCCCGAGGTGCTGCTTGACCTTTCGAGGTAACATGGGCCCGTGTCCGGTGGTCACCAGAGGCGGCCGCGTACTTGTCCCGAAACGTTCTAAGGAAATGTGGTTGTTGCACGCGAGAGTACCGTGACAAAAAACGAAGCGATTCTGGCGCCTCGAAACTAACGCTCTCCCAACAACATAGCTCTACGGTGCAGCCTCAGAAAGCCCGACACCGCGCGCACCCAGACGAAGCCACCAAAACACAGACAAACAGAAGGCTCTGCTCCGCTCTGCTGTGTCGGGAGGCCAGGTTTATGCTTACCTCAGGCGTCAACGATAAGTCGAGGTTGTAAGACGACACCGTAGAAACCGCGGGGCTGTCCTCGCGCCCATTCCCATCCACGCCACCTCCCGTCACTTCACGCCCCGCCGCCGCCACTCCGGCTGCTCCGGAGCTTTCCAACCCAGCGGAGGCATCTCCACCGCCTGCTGCTAGACCTTCCTCGCTCGAAACCTCGCCATCAATCGCCGCCGACCCGGCCGCCGCTGCCGCCGCAGGTTGCGCGTCACCCCCGCCTGCGACAGCAGCCCCCGCTGCCGCAGTCGCAGAAGCACTCGGAGCGTTCACCGGGCCCAGGGTTGAGGACAACCGCGCGTCCGACCGCCTCTGTTGCGCCGGAGATGTTCCGCGTAGCAGCGGCGACGCAGCTGCCGTCGGCAGGGCTTCGGCCGCGTGTCTCTCGGGCGGCGCCGTTTCCACGCGATCGCCGGTGTCCTTCGCCGCTGTGTCCACGGAGGAGGTAGCCACCATCGAAGCAGCGGGACCAGGGTTGGTAGCAACGGGACGGGCCGGAGGTAGGAGGACGAGGAGGAGGGGAGAAACAGAGGAAGAGTCCGCGTCCGCTCTTGCCGCGGGCGTCAGAGCGGGGCCAATCCTTCCAGAGGTTTCGGCTTCTGCCAAGCACGGGTGCTGCTGTGTCAGAGACTGCTGCCGGTGGTGCTCCTGCTGTTTGTCGCGAGACTCGCCGTCGGGAGAGCAGTGAACGGTAGGCGTTAGCCTGCTAGCAGCGTCGTGGGCGCCGAGCTTTAGGTCCGCGTCGTCCTCCTCCGAGTCTTGAAACGCCAGGCTCCCGAGAAGTCCGAGCCTAGACCTGCTCCAGAGCCCTCCCTCTTCAGAAGGGTCGGCGCCGCTGCGTGAAGAAGCCGCTACCGATGAATCCGCCCGCCGTTGCCGAGCTCCAACCTCCTCCTCGGCGCTAGGCGTCCCTCCCCCCCCCCCACCGGTCGGGCTGGCCGGCTTGTTTTCACTGCTGCCGCTGCCACTGCGGTCGGCAGCGTCTCTTCCGCCGATAACGTGCTCTTCCTGAGTCCCCGCTGTCCCTCCCTGAGTTGTTCCTTGGGAAGGTAAGATCTGAGACAGGCTGATGTTGTCCAGAAGGGCGACGAACAGGCCGCCGTCGCTGCCGCCTGCCGCCTCCGCCGCCGCTCTCGCCCCCCCTACTACCGTTGGCGGCATCAACGTTTCCGCGTTGGGCTTCTTGCCGACGGCACTAGGTGCACCACAGAGCAGCGCCCCGTCGGCTGTGGGAGTGTCTCGTGGCGTGTCGGCGACTGCTGCTGTCCGCGGCGGGACTACCGGTTGATGCTCGCGTCGTATCGCTGCCCGCCCAGAGGCTGGACTAGACGCAGCGCAGGCAGCACCAACAGCAACAGCTGTCGTTGCAGGGAATGCCCGGCCTCCTACCACGGGCTCTGGCTGCCGTCTAATCGGAGTACTGCTCGTGCTGCCGCCGCTCGTGCTGCTGCTGCTGCCGCCGCCGCCGCCGCCGCCGTCCCACTGCAATCTCCGGCCTTTTCCTACAACGGTCGGAGATCTCGCCGCACTGACGAGCGCACCATCATTTCCATTCCCACTCCCGCGGCCTCCAGAATCCGCGCTAAGCCGGACAGAACACGACGGTGCTGTCGGCGACGGCGACGGCGCCGTGTACAAGAAGCCGCACGTGCCCGAAGGGCTGTCGTGGCACGCGAGCGACTCCGCCGTGTAGTCGAAAGCGACGCTGATGCCGGCATCTCCTCCCGCTGTTGACGTCGCTGACAGGTTCAGAACACCGCCGTCTTTCACGTCGCTCAGGCTCACACCCCCATGAATCATGTACGTGAGGACGTCAGGGCACCTACCTCTGCCTGTCCCGCCGCCTCCGCGCAGACTGTGTGTTGTGTCTGCTGCGAGCTACTGACCACGCTGCGACAAGGGTGGAGGGTCGGTTATTCAAATTCGCAGTAGCAATCACGTAGCCCCAAACTAACTACCCCCCCACTCATATACTCTGCGTCCTACAGTATCACAGGTACAGGTACTCCTGTGGGTACTCCCTGCCCGTGGATGTCAGACGGCCATTGCTTGGTCTACTGCTTGCTGTGAGAGAGGAGCGAGGGACGGAAAAAATATGGCGGCGCCTGCTGGAAGGCGTAAGCTGAACATTGTGGTGGAAGGGTGCTGCCATGGGGAACTACCCGCGATCTACGCCTCGGTGCTCAAGATGGAGCAGGTCGGTGCCTTGTGCTGTCTACAGTCATTTGAAGCATAGACTACTATGCAAACTTGAATTTGTTGGAAGAGGATCGTGGCTTCGCCGGGAACATCTGTGCTGTGAGTTGAGGTAGTCGGTCTTGACGTGATATGTACCCTAGTTCTTTTTGGAAGAGCAAATATGCTTGTCTGCCTGTGTCACCCCAGGGGCAGATATGTATCTACAGGATATTTGGTTGTGTTTGTTCCGGCGGCGGCTGGAAACCGGCAAGAAATCTCGCCGTGTGAACCATGAACGGATTCGTTCATCTCGTTCATTCTCAAAGGACGGTTTTGTACCCCCTCATTGGATTTACTGCTGTAGTATTCATTCATGACACAAACATTTTATTATTCCTTAATTTCTTACACATAAACTTCTCTCTGTCATGGGAGAGGGTCGGGTAAGAGCTTTGTTGCTGTGTGTTATAGGGTTTTCAGCCCCAGACTACAGGCTACAACAGCAGCATGCATAGCAGCACGACCAACTGAAAATTACAGGCAGTGGATCACGCTGCTGTCAAGACTCAGGTTGAAAGTTTACCCTTTTGAATCTTCAGGCGTTCTGACTGACCATTGATTGATCATTTGCACGTTCTGGTGTAGTGGCAAGTCGTGGAGTTGCCGCCTGCAGCCCTTCGCGCCGTGTATTTGCAAGTCCATAGGTGTGTCTAGATTATTAGCACCCGCGCTAATCGGCTGACCAATGAAGAGACGTCAGTGACAGCGAGTAATATCAAGGTCTCGGGAATGGGGCAATCAATGCCAAATCATGAATCTCTCAACGTATGTACATGAACGTGTGTGCGCATACATACATACATACATACATACATACATACATACATACATACATACATACATGCATGCATACATACGTACATATAAGATTTGGTCACTTTTCATGCTTC